TCAATGTACAGAGGCCATTTGGTGCACCAAATGATCTGATGAGTGCTACATAGTGGACAAGCAAGTGTTGATGGGGAAGAGAGAATCCATCTGGGCAGACACCAGTAGAGCAAAAGATTTCATGATAACAATGGAATCAAGTGAGAGCATCCTGAATCTCCACCAATGTTTCATCAGTGATTGCATCCCTCCAAACAAGGTAGCAGAATTCCAAAAATGCCTGAAAGGTACAAACAATATCATCTGGGACATGGCCTTCAATGGCAGGGAGGCAGACCTTCATGAATGTCAATGCAATGAAAGGAATCCAGCATGTTGGACAAGAAATGAATGTTCATTAGTGCTTTTGAGTCATTTCCTGTCCATTGTGAAAATCCCTGTCCCTCAGGGAAACATCACAGACCTGAAAAGGATGGAACAACTGCAATGCTATTATTCACATATTGGGTTAGTAACAACATCAACTCAGAGTAAAATGTCTTACTGCTGATGGATATCAGCTAGAATTTCCTTTGCTCCAGCATTTCCATGAGTTTGCTCAAGGTACTTGGTCACCCACTCAACCAAATGATCCTTAAATGTCCCTTTGATCAGTTGATGTAGGATGTCAGGTGCTAATAACAAGTAGATGGTGGCTGGAGGGAACTTGTCAGTAAATGGCTGCAATTGCAATGAGTCCAAATCACATCTAAAATCCAAACTTTGTACCTTGATCTCCACATCCATCCCCTGTTCATCCCACAATTCAACAAGTGAGAATGCATGCTTCAGCACATCAGCAAGTAAGTTGGAATGGGGCACACCACCTCCATCCAAGTTATCTGGGGTTGCCATACATCTAGAATGGATCATCAGCCCCATCCAAAATGCCTTGAATTGTGTCTACTCACCAGCCACACCAATTCTGCACAATGCCAGCAAGTAAAACCTGTTCTGGATAGTTGGCAATATGTATAAGGCCCAAGGCCATAAATGATGTGATGAAAGTGGCAATCTGGGCAGCAGAGAACCTCTGGGGTCATCATACCAGTCTTGAGCAGTCAAAGAATTCATGCAAGCACCACATGAAAAGTTTGTTTCTTGCACTTGCAGAAGAGGATATCATCTGAGTGTTTTTTGCTGGCTGCATTCAAATCTCAGATCAGTGTGCAAGGGAGAGAAGTAAATAGTGTAACAACTTTTTGGAATAGGTAAGAAAGCTAATAGGATGACAGCATTGTGATGTGCATGCTGAACATGGTTATGAACATTGCTGATGGAAAGGTAGACAGGCCAGTAGTCATTCTGGCCTGTAGCAACTGATATGGTTGTTTTGTCGCTGCCCAGGATAATCAGGATGAATGTTGCACCATATGCTTGGGGCTCTTTCACAATTTCATCTTAGGTTATGGGCCCCTGTAGGGTGGAATTTTCGGCCAACCCTGGGGCTGTGCTGACCCTACACCTAACCCCATGGACTTCCTATTTGGGCACTGGGGTTCCGTATATGGCAACTGAGCCCCTATTGCATCATGAGGAGGGTGAGCGATCATGTGATGGCGGCTTTGGCCATCCAGGACGGCCACCAGCCCGACGGGCTCATGATCACATGACCACATCCTCCATCATGCAGCGTGGCCGTCTTGGATGGCCATCCTGCACTGCGGTAGGCAAGTCACATGACTGAAGTGCGCTCACACCGGTTGGCCGTCCAAGACGGCCAGAGGTGGACCTCCACTAGTTGATCACATGATTTACACCCTCCATCGCAGGTGGCCGTCCAAGACGGCCAAAGAGTACTCACCCGTGTGTTGCAAGTCGCCGTCCAAGACGGCCAAAGAGTATTGACCCGTACCAGTGTACAATATATATTGCTCATTATCACTGTCAGTAATCTAGTCCGAGCTGTTCATAGGGTCAATTGCCAGTTGGCCGTCTGGGACGATCAATGCTATCGTTAACGTGCTGTCACATCGACACTGAGACCCGCATAGCGGTGGCCATCCAAGGCGGCCATGCACCCTCTGCGATGCATCGTTCAATCTCAGCAGCTCCGGCAATGCTATTCATGATCGTATCCGATATGCAACCTGATTTTTTAGGATTTGACTAAATGCAATCAATCGATTATCGATCTGATTGGAAACTCCGCGACTATACATCGGATCATCATGTTGATGCTGGCATGATCATGTAACGTACACGAGGCTTGGACTATAAGAACGCACTTCACATCAATTCTTCCTGCCTTCTCTTCTCTTCTCCCACTCACCATCTCCACTTCCACTGATCAGTACTTCTGTTCTAGATATACTTCGATTGCAATGCCTTCTCAGTCGTTCACGGCCGCTTTGCTCGCTCTCTCATCGGCAGGACTGCCTTGGGGTGTGCCATCTTGGCAGGCAATCACTCGCATTCCTGGGGAGCCATGGTCAACAGTCGACAATGCTCCCGAAGATTCCCCCTCACTCTATGTGCCCGAGTGGACGAACCGAGTTGCCGCACAGGTCAAGGCATACGTCACTACGGTGTTGGGCATGCCTGTCGGGGCCCAGGACCGCTACATGGCCAAGCGTGTGCTAGACAAAGATTCAGCAGCGCGCACCGCATGGGCTACCTTCGTCAGCAAGAGGTCCTCTCAATGGGGCATCAACAAGATTATCGATGAGGTCCTTGAGACTGCCGGCAGAGCTCCCAATCAAATGCTGCGCGATTTGGGCACAAAGAGCGTAAGTATAACCATCACCACCTTAATCAGTGTAATATCACACTGATCCAGTTGCCTCATGCCGAGCCTGCGCAGATCTACGACTGCGTGACCCCACTTGCCCAGAAACTGTTTGGGGACGACGCATACGTAGGCAGGGGAAGCTTTCTGAAGGAGGCTGTCATCAAATTCTGCCGAACGATTCTCACCTTGAGTTGGAATCGGTATCATAAGGGGGTCGCACGCGATGTACATTTGATGGATACACTCTACGATGTGGTAACGGAAACCTGGAAAGGTGCGTGACAATTGGCATGTGAATATAATGGAGTTCAACGTGATCTTTAACAGCATTCAGCGCTGAGGGCACTACCCATACCACCGGTGCTATCAGATCATTCATTAAGGATTTGCGCAAATTATTGAAACTCTATGTCCGATACGACGACCAGGAACGGCGCGCTCGGGTGGAACAATATATGGCGGACATGGTCGAAATGTTGAGAGTCGTTCGCAAGGAACCAGGCAGCGAGGATTCAGACAGTAAGTCGTGTCCGAATTATGAGTTGCCACTGATCGCGAAATATCTGTAGAACTTCCGAAAAATCTAAGAGATATCTTACTCGGTCTCGCAAGCGAACATGACATCCAGGCCATCACCCAAGCCCTGCTGGTCTCAATTGAAGATCTCGATAGTGCCGAATCTGTCGAGCCCGTGGAACTCGATCTAGATGCCCCGATCGAGCCAGATTGGAAGGAAGGGGTCGAGGCATTGTTCAAATTTTCCGATGAGCAATTGTGGCAGAAGCTCGGAATCCCCAATCAGCGACTTCCTTTCTTCCAACAATGGACCGACTTGGATGGAATGATTGATCCTTGGTCAGATGAAGGCCAGGCCTGGCTTCAAAATATGACGGAGAAGAGGGAATCGCTCCAACCGCGATGGCACCAACTCGTCGGAATCTACCGTATGCTGGAGCGTGTGTTCGAGGGCAAGCCCATCTTACTGATGGACGGAGTGGGACTGGGGAAGACCCTTCAGGTGCTTGGTGTGATTGCATGTCTTGCTTACTACCGGTATGTCTACGCGAAGAAGAAGGCATTTCCAGGAGATTTTGGTCAGTCCATCACATTGTCATATTTCTGCAATCCCCTCATTGTGTTCTAGCTGGTCTAAAATTCAACACTCCAGACGGTAATGTCCCAGACTTGTCACACATGATCATATGCCCCGTCAACCTGAAGCAGCAGTGGGAGAGCGAGATCCGACGTTTCCTAGTGCCAGCCTCTTTTGACCTCTTTCCATACACCGGTCGTTTGGATTCTCGCAGCGCATGGTGGACAGAATTGTTCACAGTCAGCAAGCAACCGTTATGCCAACGGATAATCCTTGCAACTCAAACAGTAAGTGAATAATTTGTCATTCACCCCATCACCTATTCACTATCATCTTGTCAGGCCATCCAAGATGATGCTGTGACTGTCTTCACCCCGCAGACCATCAAAGAGAGGGCGGGCCATGCCATCCCTGGCACACGATTCGAGACAAATGCCCCCCGAACGCTATATGGACGACGATATTGCCTAGTCATCATGGATGAGGCGCACAGCACACGGAAGCACAATCAAATTCATCGAGCCTTCCGTGGACTGAAGGAGCGCGCGACCTCGGTCATTGCGATGACAGCAACACCCATCACAACAAAAGCTCAGGTATGTTATGTAATGTGACCCACTTGGCCCATCACCGCTAAAATGTTCTGATAGGATTTATATATTATGGGACAATGGATGGGGATCCCCGGCTTCGATGACCATAGCGAGTTCCTGGAGCTCAACAAGGAGATCAATCGTGCCAACCACCAAGACTCGAAGGCATTGCGCGAGGCAGGGATCGAAGGCAGTATCATTCGCGGCGTCTTCATCGGCATCCGCAATCAGAACACACCCGACTTGTTGTCTCCAGAGGTTACTCGTGAGTGGATGGTGAAGATACGCGATCGGTTTGCGCATAATGTAATTCGTCGGACGATCAACTCTGTGGACCACGCCGGCAACAAGCTATTCGGCTTGAAGCCGTATTTAGAACATACCCTCAAGCTGCGAATGTATGACAATGAAATGGGAGCACTCAGGAGTTTTGCCAAGGATTTGGTCAGAGAAAATCCCATTGCAAGTGCCGATACCAGAAAGGTAAGTGGCATCATTTATTTATTTCCATGCGCTTCGGGTCGAGATGGCCGTCCTGGACGGCCATCGTGCGATGGCATTGTCCGTGGGAACTTATACATAACCAGTGCCACATGGGACGGCCGTCTTGGACGGCCAACGTGATGTGCGCCGACACGCTCACGTGATTGCGAGTGTTTGCGGCATGTGGCCGTCCAAGACGGCCACTCGCCTCCAATCGTGCCCTACACGCATTTGTAGGGCTTATTGCACTTGGCCGTCCCCAACGGCCGGATCTGTTCCTCCACACCATCTGTATCAACCTGTCCTGATGCATCTGTCGTTTCAGAATTTCTACATCGAATTCCGGCGCTCTATGCTACACCCTATGCTTAACCCGAAGAATGGTGGTCATTGGAAGAAGCCACTCTCACTCGCTCATTGGCAGGAGGAGAAGACAATCAAACTGGATACCCTTGCACACATCGTTCGCCACCACCTCGATTCAAATGGCCGCGCGCCCTTGACGATGACCGAGGATGGTCAAACCCTCACCCTGGCTCCAGATGGCTTGCAGGACATGTCCGACTATGGTGAGGACGACAGAGTCGTCGTTTACTCCGCCTTCCCATCGTCGAATCAGGCTTTGATCGATGTAAGTGTGTGGGTGTATTCGCTGATGAGTATCTCACACCCTCTGTAGATTCTGGATGTGTACGGCATCGCGGCTACCGAGCTGAACGGGACGATGTCGCTGAAGAAGCGCCAGGCCGCGCTTGATGATTTTCGTACTTCGATGCGCACCAAAGGACATCGCGTCCTCATCATCTCAAATGTCGGAATGGTGGGCTTGAACTTGGCATGTGCCAACGTCATGGTGATTGTGGTAAATTTCTCAGATATTCGTCGGCGCTGTTCATCCATCCTCATATGCATCTTAGGACACAACGTGGTCTGCGCTGGACGACGAGCAGTTGCGAGGCAGAATTTTCCGCTATCCACAACAAAAGCAAGTGCACATCTACCGGCTCATCGCGCTCGGCACCCCCGATGTCTTCTTAAACAACATCTCATTCGACAAAGGGCAACTCCACTCCGCTTTCGTAGGATGTACGGACGACATTCGTGCGTTGAATCTATCAATGTTACTACCTAGCTAATTGTACTACCTCAATACCTGACCACAGGGGGACTATTCGAGGATGACAGTTTGGGCGACGACAGTTTACTGTCGATTTCCTCGACTCAATCTGATGGCGGCGACGACAACCTAGATGGTGATGATGATGGCGCACGGACGAAGAAATCGCGTAGTAAACCCGTTCCAAAACAGCGTCAGACACCTGTTGGTTGGGGGAAAGGGAAACATCGCCAGGCGGAGCTATCCGAAAATGAAGGTGAGGAGAACGCAGCATCATCAATCGACATCGACCCGCCGGGGAGCAAGCCGCGCAGTAAGAAGCAGCCCCACTGACGCGAGAAACGCGGCCCTAATATTCTACTTTCCGGACCCTGCCCCAGGGTCCGCATGAAACCTGCCTTATATGGAAGGTTTCCTGCATGAAACCTGCACAGCCACTGAATGAAACCTCACAGCCACTGAATGAAACCTACACAGCCACTGAATGAAACCTACACAGCCACTGAATGAAACCTCACAGCCACTGCATGCAACCTCTTAGTGAGTGAATGAAACCTACACAGCCACTGAATGAAACCTCACAGCCACTGCATGCAACCTCTTAGTGAGTGAATGAAACCTACACAGCCACTGCATGCAACCTCACAGCCACTGAATGAAACCTCACAGCCACTGAATGAAACCTACACAGCCACTGAATGAAACCTACATAGCCACTGAATGAAACCTCTTAGTGAGTGAATGAAACCTACACAGCCACTGCATGCAACCTCTTAGTGAGTGAATGAAACCTACACAGCCACTGCATGCAACCTCTTAGTGAGTGAATGAAACCTACACAGCCACTGAATGAAACCTCACAGCCACTGAATGAAACCTACACAGCCACTGAATGAAACCTCACAGCCACTGAATGAAACCTACACAGCCACTGAATGAAACCTACACAGCCACTGAATGAAACCTCACAGCCACTGAATGAAACCTACACAGCCACTGAATGAAACCTCACAGCCACTGAATGAAACCTACACAGCCACTGAATGAAACCTACACAGCCACTGCATGCAACCTCTTAGTGAGTGAATGAAACCTCACAGCCACTGAATGAAACCTACACAGCCACTGCATGCAACCACCATATAAGGAAATAAATACACAGGGACCAGAAAGTTGGTGAAGGGAAGCAGCACAGCCACTAAGAATGCAAAAAATAAGCGACCGGTTGCTTATCTGGAGACAAGATGACTAGCAAGTAATTAGCAAAAAAAAGTGGAGTTAGCAATGACCACTGACTACCAAATAGCAAAAAAAAATAGGTGAGCAGTTGCTTATTTGGAACAGTGGACTATGAAAGGATGTAGTAGTGAGCATGCACCTACTGACTACCGACTGACTTGAATATGACTAGCAAAAAATGAGGGACTGGTTGGTTATCTGGACACAAGATGACTAGCAAGTAATTAGCAAAAAAGGGGAGTTAGCAAGAACCACTGACTACTGATGAGGGACTAGGAAAATAAGGGACCGGTTGGTTATTTGGATTGAAGATGAGTAGTGAGTTGATTAGCAAAAAAAGTGGACTAGCTACGAAGGGATGTAGTAGTAACTACTGACTGACTAGGGACTGACTTGAATATGACTAGCAAAAATAAGGGACTGGTTGGTTATCTGGAGTGGTAAGACAGACTAGTAGTTTGTATGATGAGTAGAGATTAGAGATTAGTGAGTTGGTGAGAGAAGTAGGAAAAGTAATGGGGAGTGAACTGGGATGAAAATGGCAGTAGAAAAGCTGGAGATAATGGGCATTAAAAGGCTGGTAAATAAGGCAGAGATAACGGCCATGAAAACCCCAGTAAATAATGTGGAGATAACCCAGGTGAAAACGCTGGTAAATAACCCGTCGATAACCCGCGTGAAAACCCCGGTAAATAACCCGTCGATAACCCGCGTGAAAACCCCGGTAAATAATGTGGAAATAACGCCGTGGACACCCCGCGAGTGAGAATAATGGTAGTGAGGGTAGATTAGTTGGTAATAGGAATAATAGTGTAGTGTGGGATGAAATTGGTGGTAGTAGTGGTGGTGGTGGTGGTATTAAGAGTAATAGTAATGGTAGTGTAGTTGGTAGGAATAGGGTAGTGTGGGATGATTTGAGTAGTAGTAGTAGTAGTAGTGTAAGTAGTGGTAGTGGTGGTGGCAGTAGGAGTGGTAGTAATGGTAGTGGTAATAGGAATAGGGTAGTGTGGTTGGTAATGAGTGGTGGTGGGGGTAATGGTAGTGTAGTGTGGGAAGAAAATTGAGGTAGTAGTGTAAGTAGTGTAGGTAGTGTAGGGTGGGAAGAAAATTGTGGTAGAGAAAGTAGGGTAGTTGGTAATAGGAGTAGTGGTGGTAATGGAAATAAGAATGTGGTGTAGATGGAAAAAAGAAAAGTTGGTAGTAGGAATAGGAATAGAGTAGGGAGTGAAGAAAAGAGAGGTAGTAGTGGTGTTGTAGGTAATAGGAATAGGGTAGTGTGTGAGAATGTAAGTAGTAGTGATAGTAATGGTAGTGTAGTTGGTAATAAGGAAGTGATAATGTGGGAGGAAAAGAGTAGTAGTAGTGGTGGTGGTGGTGGTGGTGTAGGTAGAATTGGTAGGGTAGTTGAGAATAAGAGAGTAGTGTAGTTGGAAATGTGTTGTGTGGTTGGTAGAGTTGGTAGTAGGAATAGGGTAGTGTAGGGGGAAATGGGAGGTGTTGTAAGTAGGGTAAGTAGGGTAGTGTTGGTAGTGATTGATAGTAGTAGTGTAGGTTGTGTAGTTGGTAGGAATGATAGGATAGTGTAGGATTGGGAGAGTAGTAGTAGTAGTGTAAGTGATGTAGGGTAGTTGGTAATAGGAGAATAGAGTATGGAGTAGATGGAAAAAAGAAAAGTTGGTAGTAGGATTAGGAATAGGGTAGAGTAGGTGTTGTAAGTAGGGTAGTGTGTGATAGGTAGGTGGAGTAGTTGGTATGGATGGGAATAGGAATAGGAATAGGAATAGGGTAGTGTAGGTAATAGGAATAGGAATAGGAATAGGGTAGTGTAGGTAATAGGAATAGGAATAGGAATAGGGTAGGTAGTGTAGGTAATAGGAATAGAATTAGGAATAGGGTAGTGTAGGTAATAGGAATAGGAATAGGAGTGATAGTGTAGTAAGATTGGGTGGTAGAGTTGGTAGTAGGAATAGGGTAGGATAAGTGGTAGGAGTAGGGTAGGTAGTAGGGTAGGTAGTGGGATGGGTAGTAGGATAGGTGGTAGGATAGGTAGTAGGATAGGTGGTAGGATAGGTAGTAGGATAGGTGGTAGGATAGGTAGTTGGAGTAGGGTTAGGGGGAATAGGATAGGTAGTTGGAGTAGGGTTAGGGGGAATAGGATAGGTGGTAGGATAGGTAGTTGGAGTAGGATTAGGGGGAATAGGATAGGTAGTTGGAGTAGGATTAGGGGGAATAGGATAGGTGGTAGGATAGGTAGTAGGATTAGGATTAGGATAGGTAGTAGGATAGGTAGTAGGATTAGGATTAGGATAGGTAGTAGGATAGGTAGTAGGATTAGGATTAGGATAGGTAGTAGGATTAGGAGTAGAGGGAGGTAATGTAGTTGTGATAGGATTAGGGGGAGATAAGTGTAGTAGGGGATTATGTAGGAGAGATAGGGGTTGATTATGTAAGATTTAGGTTAGGTTAGGGTTAGGTTAGGGTTAGGTTAGGTTAGGGTTAGGTTAGGGTTAGGTTAGGGTTAGGTTAGGGTTAGGTTAGGTTAGGGTTAGGTTAGGTTAGGTTAGGGTTAGGTTAGGGTTAGGTTAGGGTTAGGTTAGGGTTAGGTTAGGGTTAGGTTAGGTTAGGTTAGGTTAGGGTTAGGTTAGGGTTAGGTTAA